ATACTATATTTTTGGTCGTATTGTACCAAACTAAATTGTGAATAAAGAATGTAATTACTCGAGCTTGGAATTTTTATTTCATGAGTTGTATGGCTAATTGGGACATTTTATCGTATTATTGGATAAAAAAATAGTTGCTTTCGTTAACAATTAGGTGCCCTTATGGATCCACCCAAGCCTGCAACATTAAGGCAAAGTCCTGCCGATCCGAAATAAAGCCGAAGAGTGTCATGGGTTTCCAAACAAAGTCAGTGCAATTCAAGCTTTGGATCTTGAGGAAAACATAGACAAGGAAGAAACTTTTACTTGGAATGATTTTGCAAGATGCAAATGTATCCTATTTTCTGTAGTAGATCCAACTAAAATTTTATGCGTCCCATTGCATTTCCCCATCATAATCTAAATATGGATTTAAACGTCAGATATTGTTCCTATGCCATTTTCCCCAAACAACTATCGCAGGTGCAGGCGAAATTATGGTAAAATGTACCTGCTACCCTTCAAACACAATATGAAATGTGGATGTCTATCCGTTGTTAAAATCGACGTAGTTCAAATTACTCGGCATTTTGGTCTGCATTGCAATTATACAAGGTTTTTTCCGTGGTACTTTGACAGAGTGGCCGTCCGTGCTAGTGAAAATTAGGTACTTACCACGTAGATTAATGGGAAGATTATCCCCATTACAATTTAGCATGTTCGATTTAGAATAGATCATTAAGGCAATAATTAATCATTTTTTTAGGAAACCGGACACTTTACAAAAATGGTCGTCGAACCATTTAAAGAAAAATAATTTTTGTTTTGAATTTTGTTATTGACTGTAAAATAATTACTGTCAAATGTTTCCAATTATTCTTATGGAAAATTTAATGCTCTACAAAAAAGGTCTCTAGTGGTCTATCGATTACCCTGAAGATTGCATTCGAATCTCAATGGGCATTCATAGTTTTTAATAAATAATTTTCAATTTATTCATTGAATTAGTAAATTTTAAGATTATTGATTATTTATTTCAGAAAAAAAGTTATTTATTCAAGAAATATCGATAAATGCATCAATAGAAAAAGAATTCTGTTGCACTATATCAAAATATATACCCTAATACAGTATTTTATTACTTTTATTACAGTTAGTACTGTCTAGTAGAGGTAACTAGCAACAAGTTTTTGTGTGTCAGATAAAAAAATCGTTTTTTTTTACACAAAATTAACTCCCTAAGGTGGGACCAAAGATTATTTTAGAAACATCGAGTTCTTTTATTTTAGTATTTCTTTCCCATGGCACATTTATTTCCAAAGTTTAAAAACAAAAAAAATCAGTTGTTTTGGTTAGTGAAAATCATTTAGTTTTTGACATTGATAGGAAGGACACTAGAACTTTAAGATACATAACCAATAATTCTAACCATGCTTTTCAACATAAAATGGCAAGTAAGTCCTTTAAATCAAGAAAGGTTTGAGGTGGAAAGAAGCCTTATAAAAAAGGTGGCTAGAATCAATGGCTATGAAGATAGTTTTATCGATAAGTTAATTATGAAATTCTGATTTAAGAACAAACTTCAAAAATCAACGACTTTTCAAGCTGATAAGGAAAATTTAAAAGTAGTCTCAATTCCTTTCTCTCCCCAATATACAAGTGGACTTGATAGAGTCTTCAGGGCCGCAGGTCTTCGAAGTGTCCATCGGTCCGGATGAAAATTAAAAAATCTCTTGGGTAATCCCAACGATAAACTAGATACCCTTGAAAAGTCGGAAATTTATGAAATATGTTGTAACGATTGTGACAAGTCATATGTAGGGCAAACTAAAAGATCAATTAATGTTAGATTTAACTTGGTTGGCGAAACGCGCGTCGAGTACGCGTTATTGTATGTTTCAAAGTGTTTATCTATTGAAATTTAAATTAAAACGCATATTTAAAATTGTTACTATATCTTTAAAACAAACGCAGAAGTACTCTACGTGAAAGTAAAAAAAAAACAGAAGCTGCAATCACCAATATCTGATCGTCTTGCACAATGTCATAATACCTATATGTATACAACTTACAAATCGATCTTTTGCCTTTCTTTGATGGGTAACAATGTCAGTTTATGTCGTTAAATGTGACTCAACTAACACAATTATAGTAACAAAAAGTTGGTCAATAAAGTAAAGGAAGGATATATGGAAGAGTGCAATACATAAACTAACGTGCAAATTCAATTGTGCTTCTTGTTAATACAAGTAAATTTTATTACTTTTTGAGCAACTAAGTAAATTTTCATGTAAGCGGCCCTTGCAGAGGAAACAGTCTATGCACAAAACTAAAGGCAATGAAATTACAACAGTCTTATTTAATAAAAAAAATGAAAATCTCGCTCCAAATGTTAACATTAGCAAAAAGTCTGTCACTGTTTTCCCATTATTTCTCTTGGTGTATTTTGTAATTTGTATATGCACATTGTATGTGCTTGAACATTTTAATTTCTACACTATTTTCAATTTCAACCATCATCAACTCACACTTACGTTAATTAATATACTGTAAATCAACCAATCAACAATAACCAACTTTTGAGTCATTAACACGAACATCATCATAACATGAACGTGAATGAAAACTAAAAATAAAACATTATTAAGGATAGACTTCCTCTTCTCAAACTTGTGATAATTTAATTCTAAAATCAAATGCTTTAAATTAAAACATTTAAAAAACGGAGACGGTAATATTTAAAATTTTAACATGGCGACGCGTGGCTTGAGGGCAGCCAGAAAAGAAATAGTTCCCAAGTTTTTACTAGAGATAATAATAAATTTAACTTTATTAAAGTTGAATGAAGTTTTTAAACTTCATCTCCTTTATTAACATTTGTTTGAATTAAAATGCAGCGGAAAAAGTCGGTTTTTCATCTCATTCTATTTCGAAAGAACTTTCGGGGAAACTTCAAAATTTACAATAATAACATATATCACTGAAGTACTCGAGTAAATTGTAAAATTAATACATTCTATTTTTTTTTTTTTATAAAATGTGATAAGTATCGTGAATTCTTAAGTATTTTTGTTTTGCATTTTGCATGGCGCCGAGACATCGGGGAAAGTTTTACCTAAAATGTAAATCGGAACTGAATAATTTTCAGGTCGGCATATTTATATGTGTAAGTAGGCAGCAATCGTAATATGTCATCTGCCTTGGTTTGGTTTTTGTTGGTTATCGCTTTCGTATTTAAAGTGGGCACCGATAGTTCTTGAAATCCAAATTTCTACAGCCCGTACAAGGTGTATGGCATAGAGCATCGCTTGGTTTTTATGAAAATGTAATGAAAAAAAAAAAAACGATGGCCAAAACCAAATTGCCGATAACTTCTTTATTTATGGACGTTTTTGAATTCGAAAGGAACATTAATGGCGCAATTTATTATTAAATTGGAGCGGCGTATCCCCGATATAAGCAAATGTTAATTTACTAATAGAAAATTTCCGTTCTGAACAATTTTCAATAGTCCATATTCCTTGGCATTTATTTTGGAAAACGGGGAATTCTATATTAAGACGTTGTTAACCACCATTCTTGTCTGCAGCTTCAAACATGTTTAATTTGATATTTCAATTTCAAACTGATATCGCGATTTATCCATAAAGCACCTTTGGTTGAATGAAAAAGGATCTTTGGGGAATTTTTAAAATGCATGTACATTTTTTTTGAGAAGGTCTCAACACTGGCATTTGTTTTAAGACTACATGCAGCCTACTTAAATTGCCATAGAAAATAAGAAACTTGTATTCACTTGTAGTGGAGGGCTATTACGCCCTAACAAAAATTTTCATAAAGAAACAATGTTTCAGCAATTTTTGAAGTTATGGAAAATTAATTATTATTAGTTAGGTTTTGCTAAATTCTGCGTAATTTAAAAACATGATTTTCGTGTTACTTAGACCATGTACAGAGTGTCCAATTTTCTTCGGTACCCTATTTATTAAAAAAAGATCAAATTAAATTAAAAAAATTTTTCAAAGAAACGTCCACAGGCTGCTGTATACCGTTGTCAATATTTGTGTGCATTTGTATACAGTTGACATTTTGCAGGCGAGCAGATAGTTATTGCACGTGACAAAGAAAACTTAGAATATCTAAATAGGAAGTTGATGGAGGAGTATGACAAATCAGGTTATGGTTAATGTGAACATGTCAATAATATTGAAGAACAAAAGGAAGGTTTAGTACTGCATGAACACCAAAAAATAGACGTATTTGAGGTATGTGGGCATAAAAATTCACAGTAAAAGAAGATGCGAAGGGAAAATTGAAGAACGCGTAAATCCGTGGTCGAAACTAGACCAATAAAACAAGCAATATATAAGGCTATTTGAAAGAACTGTACGGGTCGGAAATAAATCAGAACCAAAGAGATAAGAGATACAAGAATTAGGGAAATCATGAATGTAAAAGATGACTTGCGTAAAAAAAAATCAGCAAAAACACCTTCGATGGAAAGAATGCCACCAGAGAGAATTCCTAACACGGCAAGGAGGGCAATAGAGATGTCTGGAACAGAGGGCGTAGAATTACGCTATATGTATGTCAATATTTGTCATATTTCTACTTATTCATCTATTATTATTATTGATAAAGGTCTAGATTGTGATCGGAAGACTGGCTAGGTTACGAAACTCCACTTTTATATCAAGAGAATTGAAATTTTACAATGGACAGGGCAGATAAAAAATGCTCCACTTTTGAAGTACTTCACGGGTCTCAGTTGTCGTAAACAAGTCAGTTGCTATGGCACAAATTTAATGGAATTTCGTTTACGGAGTCAATTTGGTTAGTTTAAGTTTATTAATCTGTATTAAGTAACAACAATTTTATTAATATTGAAAAAAGATTTTCCTATCTCGTCGTAAAATGTGCGTTGCCTATTTAGTGATACATGTTTTTTTTTAACCTAAAAAAGAGTGGTTTAACAAAGGCGCAATATAAAATGTATATGTTTATATTTGCATGTACATTACCTGTACAACATTTGCTCCTCGAAATCACTGGGGCTCCGTTTCAGGGACACGGCAAAATTCGCCATGCTTTCACGAAAAATTCAGCCGGAACTCATATAAACCGTATACCGGAAAATCACCAAGCAGAATGTCGATCGCGCGTTGCACGTTCAGACCGTAACATCCGCGTCGCCGACGATCGACGGGACACTGAAAGGAAGGGCTGAAATTTCTGAAACGAGAGTGCAGTAAGAACGCGCTCCGGAGGTAGGGGGAAACTTGAGCTTTTGGCAGTTGTTGACGGTTTTTTCGAATGCGCTTTGACCTCGTGTTGTTTTGATTTGAGAAGGGTTCTTTCTTTTAGATCTCTGCTGGATCCGCAGGTTTATGCTTATATAAAAATGAATGATATTGTGTTCAATTATGCGTCATGCGTGGTCCAAATGTTTGCTCTAAAAGCATTTTAAATATATGATTATATTATAGCTTGGCTGCGGAAGAAGGAGCGCCTCTTCCTAAAAAGCCTCCCTTGCTGAGAAAATAAATTTGTACGAGAATATTTGTATATTGCACATTCAAAAAGTATATCTTAGAAATTAGCAGTCGTAAGGACGTTCGGAAAAAAATATTGCAAAAGTAACCGTGAGAAAATAGTGGAACTTATTTGTAAGTTTTAAAAATGTTTACTAGTGGGCAAAAAGCAAAACGTGCACCTCATTTTAAAGCAGAGTTAAATTCCAGTCTCTTTGCTAAAAAACTTTTTGCTTTGCCAATAATTAACGGTAACTCGAGGTCTTTGAAAAAAACTTTTCTTGGGCTATCAATTTTTGTTAATTGCCTCTAGAGGAGTGTTTATAACTAATTTTGTAACAATTTTTCTATTATTTTATAATAATAAACACTTTATTCGAATGAGCTTGGGTCCATTTAAAAGACAATTTCTACCTTGGTCATGGATAGTTGTTACCTTTTGTAGAGGGGTTCGTGGACTTGTTTGTTTTAGAGTTATTTGGAAATGAGTACTTCTTGATAAGTAGGCTTTGAAACAATTTATTGTTGTTGGTAACAAATGGACATTTAGGATTGGCAGTGCAGTTCGGAAATTATAATTTTTGTGTGAAAACATGTACTTTCTGGCAAAAAAAACGGGGCTTGTGCAGACATAGATCTTTGAAGTTTCCCTTGCTGTTGTCAAATTGGAATTTGAGAGATTTAAGTCAACTTTTTTTTGGTTTTGTATTATTATATAGTATGTTCTTTAAATTTAATTTAATAAAATATATTAATTTAATGTTCCAGTTTTATATGTAGAAGTAAAAAAAATCGTTTTTTACTATTTTTCATTGTGGTTAAGCAAGTTACTGGAAATGTCTATCTCAACAATTTAAATCACTAAGCACGATATTTTTATATCGACAATATTAAACAAATATTAAACTTAAACTTATTAAACAAGTTAAGAGGTAAAAATTAAAGAGCGAAAGAGAAACATCAACGCTACAGATATCCGTCTCCTATACAGTTGTTCCATAAAAACTCCATTTTTTGACAGGCATTAATTCTAACCTAAGAGTTTTGTTATCGGATAGGATTATGTTTACATTGAAGAAGAAAATGGATTTTCATTCACTTGTAATCGTGAGACTGTCTAATGCATCGAACATTTTGCAAATTACCTGAAACAGTGTAGTGAATTTATAATAATATTAATAATATTGAGGAAACTATGTGGACAAGATAATACACATTGGGATTTTTGTTGTTTGGTTGTTTACAAATAAAACTTATGTCCAAATAACAAACAGGACCTACAAAGATAAAAAAAATCCGAAATTTCTTTGGGTTTTCAAGAACTGCCTGAAAACTTTCAGTTGATTTGCTTCTTTGTCTGTTTGAAATGAATTAAAATCCAACAATCATAGATTTGAATAATGAATATCGTTGAAATAAACATAAAATTTTTATTTGAAGATTTTATTAGACCCTCTTTTATTATTAAGGCAAAACTTTTAATTCTAAAGAAATTTTCTTTATAATATGTTTTGAAATAACGGTAGTTAGCCCAATCATGTATGTCATTTGACTAACACATGTTTTCCAGTAATGTGATTATGGAACTTAAATCAGCTTTCCGCAATTTTAGTATTGTGCAGTTTTGCAGGAAATTTCAAAGATATAATTTTGTAAACTAAGTTGTTTGGTTTTCCAGTATCCAGTATGAGCTTTTCTTATTTGCTTTGTGGTGCTAAAAGGGGGCGGGGGTATCAACAAAAATTTTAATACAGAATAAAAATAATTTTCAAAATTTTTTATTTTTAACAATTTATAAACATAAAAAAAAAATATAATATTTATTCCTTGACATATTTTTTTGAAGGAATTTGTTCCAGTAGATTAGTGTCATATTTTATAATATTGTAAATTTTTTCTCAAGAATTTGTCAACATGTATTTGTCATTTAAAATTTCAACAGTTAATTTTGATTTTTAATACATTTTTAATACATTTTTGTATGGAATATAGTTTCTTTGCAAATATTTCGCACCATTTGTGTTCTGCTGTCATTTTTTTTGATACGTAATGTTTAATCTTTTCCTTATCAATATATTTGTTTACTAATGACACTTCATTAAACAGATTATCATATTTGGCAATTTTTGAGAAATATAACCAATTAAGTTCTGGTGTTAATGTAATCCAACGAAAGTGATCAATATCATCACATCGTACTGCCAAATAATATTTGCGGATAGTTAACGGTAGAAATTTATTTTCTAACCTCTCTTGACACTTTTAATTATTAACTTCATTTGCTACTTCGGTTGCCGATATTTTGTCACCTTCAATAAGTTTTACAACGATTTTAGAGGATTTTCAAAATTCTTTCGATATCTGCCAATTTATTTTAAGGTTAAGTTTGGTGACTTAATTTTTGTCATTAATATAAAATATGAAGACTACGAGTATTTTGAGCTAAGTTTAAGAAAATTTATGTGTTTATGAAATATCTAAATAAATTACTTACCTTAATTTCCTATGGTAATTAGCAGATTCGTATTTGTATTTATTTGTTTAACTAGTTTGTTAGCACGCAGTATGAACACGAAGTGTATCATCCGAGACAAATACAATATTATTGTAGTCGTCGTTTTAATTTTCTAAATTTTAAAAGCCGGGTACGTCTGGTCACCTTATACGATACTAGTAGAAATTAAATTATATTTTATAATAACTTTTTTATTTTATCTGTGTTTTTTTTTTAATTTTGAGAATTATACATATATACCGTACAAGGAAAAGGAAAGGAGAGGGTGACAGGTAGAGACCTGAGTCACGATTAAGATTGTTAGGTTGTATATAGATTTCTATAGACTCTCGGATTTTTCGTTGGTAGAAGAATTTTAGTTTTATCGAGGCTCTTTCGTGTTCTTTGAGTCTAGTTGATATTTTTCGTCCGGCCTCTCCAATGTATTCTTTGCCGCATATGCATGGAATGCTGTATTAATACGGAGCCTTGGGTATGGTTTAGCACTAAAATATTTGCTATAACCGAATAAATCGATCGGACGGATCAATGCGCGGTTAATATTGTTCCCGATCGTTACGGTCCTGTATTCCGCAACAACACAAACTGGCCCCGAGGCGCGGCCGACACACAGAAAGAGAAAAGTTTCGATTTTATCGTAGTGCACGTGCACAGCCGGGGGCGAGGCCCCGGGACTGAACGCGCGGAGGAGTCGGACCGGTCGGGCGCCATTCGGGCGACACCAGGGGGCCCCCGAGGCTACTCCGGATCAGAGTCGCCGTGCCCTTTTCGGAGCCCCGGGCTAGCGACGGAGACGGCGGCCCGATTGACTTTCAAATGTCCGCGCGGGCAGGCCACACGGAGAAAACGTAAAAATTGGACAACTCTCGATGTACAGAGTGACGGTGCATCGCGTTTGCATGAGTTGCGATAAAAAGAATTGTTGATGTTCGGGGAAATATTTTTTTCTACTCCCGTCCGTAAAATGCCTAATTACACACCGATCTAGCGCGCGGGAACGCCAACGTCAAAATGTCAAAACACGTGTCGTAGAAAATGTATAGCAGCAAAGTAAATAGATGTGTTGATAATAAAATAAACATATCGCAATAGCATTGGCAAATTAAAAATCCAAATTTAGCTTTGCTTTTCTGGAATTTTTGAGTATTTTAGTTTTGATCAAAGTTGCTTGCGCTAGGTGTAATATTACATCTAGTTATGCATTTCTTATTTTTAAATTCTATAAAAATAAACATATTAATGAGAACTTTTTCTACATAATTTGTAAACATATTAGAACAGTTATTAGAATTTTATTAAAATTGCTTTTCACGTGTGGGTGATTCTGTTAATTGTAAGTTTTTATGTCTATTATATTGTTGTTGTCATTGGTGATTAATTAATAATCTAATTGTGATAGTTTTTATTAGATATAATTATATGTAATTATAATAATAAAGTCCCACAATATATCAGCTAAATAACTCATAAATTGACACTAAATTCCGGATTAAATTAATTAAAAAGCGCCATCTACCTTACGATTTATGAAACGTCTAGTAAACCATGATGGAAGTACGTCACTTGAGTACTGTTTACAAAAATGTTGTTGATGTAATAGTGCAAAGAGTTTATATGATTTTAGAATCCAAATTTAATTAATGTCAGTGCTGTGGAACGGAAAATTTGAAATTTGTTTATCGTGCTTGACGTTTTGGAGTTGTAGTAAGATCGTTTCAGGCTTTCATTTTTACAGTAAAATAGACGAATAATATACATAAAAAAATGTAAAAATCTAGTTTTAAAATTGAAAGAAATTTTAAGTAAACAAGTAACAGTTGGATAGTATTTAAAATTTCGCACTCCGAACGGCCAAAGTATCTTTTCGAAAAATATCAATATCATATATCAGTGTTCTTTTAAAGTCGCTAAATATTTCAACTCCAATCCGGACATCAAGTGCTGTTCGGCTGTTTACCACATTAGAAAACGTCTCACCACCTTCTTATCTTGTACTGTTTTATTTCCTTTATGTTCCTTCCAGTCGTATAGCAAAAAGCATCGAAAAATGGAATTTGTGTCAACTTGAAAACAACGTTCACGCTTTACCGCTAATAGCAGAGACGAGTTTTAAAAATCAATGAGGCAGTTACGCCCTCTGGTGACGTAAATACTCAAAAGCTCATTGAGACTACATGCAGCA